TTATAAAGCTGACCAGAATTATGCCAGCTGGCCTGAATTATAAAAATTACACTGCGCAGTCTCTCAAAAATGCCTGCACAGGCTGCGCAGCCTGCGCAGTGAAATCCTGCACAGCCTGTGCAGCGGCCCATCACTAGGTATGACTAAAGCTACAAATCCAATAATCTATCAGATTACACACAGTCTGCTATAATACATTCTGTAAAATTTGAATTTTGTTGTCAGTGAGATTCAAACTCTTGTCCTGCTACTTGGAGGTACGACAACTTACCAACTTCACTAAGTCACCACACCCATTTTTTAATTTTTTTTTAAATTTTTTATCAAAATACTATTTTACTATATTTTTACTACAATTTTATCAAAACTTTTTTATAAAATTGTAGTAAAAGTATAGTAGGCATATTGCTAACTTATAGTAAGTATAAAGTGTAATTACTATAGAGTAATTATATACTGTAGTTGCTTTATAGTTACTTTATAGCTAATTACAAGTAGTATTAAAGTTGCAAATTTGCAAGTTTCAGTAAAGTAAGGTCTTATCCTGGTACTAGTTTGTTAGACCACATGGGCTAGGTTGGACAGTTTATTTCACAGCAATTTCCATTTGTTACGTCATAATACGTGTATAATCGGTGTTTGTTTGCAAATAAACTTATGTGTTACGGGTCTGAATTTGATTACTTCGTCCCATTTTCTTGTCGTGGTTGCTTGTAATTAACATTAAAATTGTCATTTTTTGTATTATTCTCTTTATGATAAGACATAGTTGGGAAATATTTTTTGGTGTTTTGGATGTGTCGAATAATCATTCTTCGTGATGACAGTGGTGAATAACTTACGAAATATCAGGTGATGATATTCATATGGGCTAATGGCGCAATAATATTAATATCATTTTCTTGATGCATATTAGTTTGAAATTTGGAGACTAATATAACCTGTTCCAAGGTTTAATACAATCCTCCAACTTTCTCTAGTATGATCCTCCAACTCCTCTACTAATGTTACTTATCTTCCAATATGCCCTTGCACACTGTGTATCTTTTTTTGGGCAGAAAAGATATATAAAGCGTGTTTTTTCTCCTTTATGATTCATATTTTTTTAGATAAAATGTTCACATAATTTAATCTAATCATATTTAGATATTATAAAAATGACAAAATGAGTCATAAGTTTAACAGTTTCTAGCATTCTTCGTGATGGATCAGTCCAGTCCAGATCATTCCAGTCTCTAATAAGATCGATTATTATAGCTGTTTTATAAATTCTGGGACAGCTAAAAATTCCCGACAATCGAATCGATAGGTTACGTGTTGGAATTAATAATAAGCCTAAATCAGAAATATGTCGATTTATTTACAATATTGGTGATTTTTTAAGATATTTCAGAATTTACGTAACAAACGTTCTAGTTCATTAACAATAAAAATATGTGCAATTTAATCGTAGTTGTACATTTATTAGATGCTAGATCTAAGTATCATTCTACAAGTTTCAACCCACACAGTATAAAAGAATTACAAAACAAATAAAATTGAGAATTATATCTTTTTCTAATGATTAAGATATAAGTTAACTAATCTAAGAATGATATTTTTCTCCAATGATTAATGTATAATTTAACTAATTCTACATCAATTTTTTGACAATTGGAAAGTACCAAACTACGATTTACTGATTTATGCGTTTCAAATAATGGTTCTTCACTCCTATCTGATGATTCACTTATAGTTTTTTCAAAAAATCCTGATAATGCTGCCACAGGGTTTTTATCCACATCTTGATATTCGGGTGTTTTTAATAATGTATTTAACCATTTTTTATTCGAAACAATTTTGAAATCCATTCCACCTTTTTGTAAACATTTTAAGAATTCATCCCATGTAATTCTTTTTGTATTAAGTATATGATTAACTCGAATATAATCAATGTCGTGGTCAAATGATGCATTTAAAGAAATATCAACGATGCTTTGAGAAGCAATGTCAACAGGGATCCAGTCAACATTTGAAATATACGAATCTGGCATAATTTTCAT